GCGGCGATGGAAGATGAAGATGAAATATGAATAAAATCAATAAATTAAAATAGTAGTTTCCTGCTACTTCTACGGATTCACATTGCGTAGTCGCACCGTCCCCATGCTCCTAGAAGACGATCGCTCAAGAAGGGCATAGCTGTGTGGTATTATAGCACCTGCAGTGCATAGTCGCAAAACAGCATCGCTTGATGAGCCGAAAAACAATACGCCCAAACAGCAACAAATATACCTCAATCAGTAGGTATACGCAAAAAAATTAATCCAGGTATTATGGTTTTACCAGTAACTGCTGGTTTTCGATACTGCCGGTAATAAAAACAATTTCTAAAAATTTTGGCAGTAAACCCATGTTACGGGTTAATTTTTACTGTGTATACATATGGATCGAGGTATATCTATTGATATTTGAACGTGTTTTTGTTCGACCCATCACGTGGTGCTGTTTAGGGCCCACGCACTGTAAGTGACAAAACCATAAAGCCGTGGCCTGCTTAAACGGCCCCTAGGTTACTAGAAACAGCGTGACGATGCGACTATGGCGGGTGAATTCAGAAAAGTGACGAGAGAGTTATTCTCACCAGAGATATCAAAAAACTAGCAGTTTATTAGTAAACCCATAATAACGAGGATAATTGACGAGGATAATTTTTACACCATTTAAAATCTGCAATGATTCTGTCGCGTTTCAATTCGCTGAAGCATGAAGACGTCGAATCTTCTACAAAATGAGCAGTTCACTGGGACTGCAGATCTACCGCAAAAGATGAATGGAATGAACTTGATTTTCGAAATCGAATGCCATAACTGCGACATAACATGCAGAGAGAAAACCATGCAAAAACTGCATAAAACGATTGCGGAACATCAAGCCGCTCTGAGGAATGCGAAAGCGGAGCATTCTGGCATTGTTACCAATGATCTCTACATTAGACGCCCTTTTAATTCCACGAATATTACTTCCCATGATATGGAGAAAACAAATATTGAGAATTAATTAACGAATCATTACGCATGTTGGCTAACAAAATATGACTGTGTAACGAGCATACGAGTTCATTTTGTTCCAGTTACACCTGGAATATCAGCTTGTCCGGAAGAATTATTGGAACAAACGTTTTTTCAGATAAATCTGAAAAACTTTCATAATACTGTACTGTTATATTTGCGTACTATAACCCTGATCATGCTGGTGTGCCGTGTCGAAACGCGTCGATAAATAATGGAATTTACAACATCCCTTCTGGATTGTTGCGCTGAGTGATAGTTCAAGAAGCAAAGGAGATTAACTGCTACTCGTACAAACAACGAATCGATGTTTCCTTCTATAACTAATTCAGTTTCTATTGGAAACATCTCAGGGTCAATTCAAAATTGTCTTATAATAATCAACATTTACAATTCATTCAA